CTGATGTTCGGAAAGTGTGAAGGCAAGAGGAGAAGAGGACGACAGAGGACGAGATGGTTGGACAGTGTCATTGAAGCTACCAACATAAATTTGACCAAACTCTAGGAAGCAGTGGAAGACAGGAGGGCCTGGCGTGCTCTGGTCCATGGGGGTCATCAAGAGTTGGACACAACTTAACAACTTAACAACAGTAACAACAAATAATGTCATTGTGAGATGAAGATAAATTCTATGTTTTGAAATATACTGTCAGTTGATTTTTAGTTGCATCAAAACAGAAGAATAGCCCTGCCATAAGGTTAAGCAAGGTGGTTGCTAGGGCAGCAAATTCTCACATATCTCCTGCTTGCCCCAGAATGGCTGTTGGTACGTTGGAAATGTCCACTGTGGGCAACATTCTAATGTATCATGGAAGAGTTAAAAATGACAACCCAGCCACTGTCCCGTTCTAAGGCAAAGGGCAGAAGACAAAGGGCAGAAGACAATGGCGAACTATGTGGGCAACAGCAGTGAGCAGCAAGAAAGACGAAGATTACTTTGCACACACCACAAAGGAAGTGAAATTGGCTATAGTGCATAGTATGCTTCCTGCCAGAGGCCAGCTCTGTACAGAGCTGGCTGTTTCTTAAATTAGTGCTTTAAAGAAACAGCCAGTTCTGTATACAGCTGGCCTCTAAGAACAGGCATATGCTCTGTAACTGCTATCGCTGCCTTCTTTCTTCTCCTCTCCTCTCATAATGGCACAATAGACCCAACACTGGTTTAGAGAATGAGTCACCCCAGTCAGTCTCACCTGAAATCAGTGCTTTAAAGAAACTGGTTTAGAGACTGAGTCACCCCAGTCAGTCTCACCTGAAATATAACAGCAGTCCTCATCATTAGATCTGTTGGTTGCTGTTTGATATAAGTTCCAAGAAGAAGGATGTGGGCACACTTCCAATATACAGCACCAAACTCCATAACTGTTGGTAGAAAAACATCACTGGTGCCTTCTGATAAAGAAGGCAGAAGTTTTGCCTTACTGCAGACCTGGGCAAAGTGCGGCTCTCCAGATGTTCCTGAACTGCAAATCCCAACATTCCTCACTGTGTGGGCTAGGCCCAAATCTCCTCACCATTCGCTGTGTGGGCTAGGAATTATGGGAGTTGCAGTTCAGCAACATCTGGAGGGCCTCATTTTGCCCACCCCTGCCTTACTGGAATGCAGGCCTATTGTAGGACAACTCTGTTGGCAAAATTTCAAGCAAACAGGCTTATGTAGGGTGATACCTGCTGTTCCTGTGGAGCAAGATGGATCATTTGCAAATTAGTATGAAGCGGATTGTTGTGCTATTCATAAAGGATGTGGCTAATGTTTCTTCACAACAGATGTATGGTCTTCTGTGAATTTACATGACCAACCCTCCTACTCTCATCTGCACCTGTGGTTAACTGTCACTGTGTCGTTCAAATCTATAAACTGATGGAAAGGTGTGCTGGAGCATGTGGTATGGGTGTGTGCATGGAGCAACAATCAAAGCTCTCACTCTAGAACAGTGCTTCCCAACTTTGGGGTCCCCAGTTGTTCTCGGACTACAACTCCCAGAAATCCTGCCCAGCACAGCTAATGATGAAGACTTCTGGGAGTTTTACTCCAAAAACACATGGGGGATCCAAGGTTGGGAACCACTGTTCTAGAAAGTTTCAAAAGGGATGACTATGCTAGAACACAGAATTAATGTGAAGAGTAGCGGAAGAACAAAACAGCGCAGAAGCAAACTGTTGGATTCCTAAATACCTAGAGGAGGATAAGGCTAGTGTGAAATCAGATAATTTACGTTGATCTTCAAAAGATATATTTACAGATGATTTTGTAATCCTTTGTTCAAATAAAATATTTGAGAATAATTTTTATAATCCTTGTAGTTAGTTTATCAGATTGATTTAAAACATCTCTGTGTAGGTTAATGAGATTCATCGGATTGTTGACCTGGAGTCCTTGAATGTTTGGGTTACTTTTAATTATGCTTGCTAAGGATTCCACTACTATAACAAATAGAACCAGGAACAGTGAGCATCCTTGTCACATTCCCTTTCTGTGCCACAGATTCTCACCCCTAGGCTTGGTCCAGTCTCATTTAAGCAGCTGATTAAGACAAGTGTTCCAGGTGCTTTAGTTCCAGCATAACACTCAGGCAAATGATCAGGCACTTCCTTTGATTTTCCAAGTTTTCTGGTTTTTCTAGCAGATGGTAGATTAACAGCTGTGGAACTTTGCTTTTACATTCTTGTGATAAGCTTGCCTTCAGTGCGTCCTTTCCTGGTGTTTCAATTTTTATCAGTCTCACTGAAACTCTGGTCAATTTCTTATCTAGTGATGTGTGGGTTTCTATCCAGTGTTGTTGGAGTTCAGCTCCGTGCTGCCATAGGAGCTGCTGAATGGGTTTGTGACCTATGCCTTATTCTTTCCTTTCCTGCCTTTGGTTGCTCTTGAAGACCTGGTTGCCATATCTTGATCTGTCATGGTTTCAGTCACTTGAGAGTCAATCAAGTTAAATACAATCTGAAATCTCTTCCAAACAGCTGTTCCATAGTGTCATTCCATTCCTACACAATTATATAGCCCCAAGCATTTTAATTCCTTTATTTTAATGGCTTTGGTGATCATGTTTTGTGGGCAGTCTTTGGAAAAGAATTATTAAGTGGCTATTAAAATCATAAGGTAGGCACACCCCTGTTGTGCTGTCATCAACCTGTTGGAGAGAAAACATGCTTTGAATAAAAATCAAAGAAGCTAGAGAATCCAAGTCTTTTCAACAATTTGCTGACAGTGATTAGTATGCAACAGATGTGAACTAAATCTGTGATGTCTGTCCCTGCATGGCTCTCCCAAATTGCAAGCTTAATAATGTCATTCCTACGCCATTAACTTAAAACAAGCCTTGGAGTTGCAGTATGATTATATACTGTCAGATTTAAATAAATACTTCCAGTTAACATTTAGCATCCTTCTACTAGGTTACTAGGTTGCCACTGGCAACAAACTAATCTTGATAGCATTTATCCCTAGGTTCAAAAAATTAAAGTTGGATGAAAAAAAGCGTCGTGGGTCTGTTTACAAACTTTCTATAGGCATACAAACTCTCCTGATTTGAGACCATAACGTAAGTAAAACACACTGTAGGCTGATCGTGTTCTCTCAGATAAGGTGAATATCTATACAGGCTCACATGGCATCTAGTATGATGTAATCCAAATTAATATTATGGGCTTTTGAAATATTTAGGAGAGAAAGGAGTTACGATCCCACAGGTGTTTGAGGTGTTTTTTCCCTAGAGCCAACACCCCAGGGAGTCTGTGAACACATCTGTCAGAGTCTATAAAGCAGGATATTCCTTTTGTATTCCACTCCACCCTGAAAATGCAGCTACGTGATAAAAGGGGTGATGTTTTGATCAAGGGTGTCTCATCAGGTTTATTTAAAATGTGTATGTCCCATCTGTTTCTCTAAAAAGCAATTCAAAATGGTGAGCACTGTCAACAACATTCTAAAATCTTAAAAGCCCAAGCAAAAGCAATTTAATAAAAATAGCTTAAACACATACATGGCTATAGAGACCGAAACACATTTAGTGATCTTCTTGCATGCAATTTATGTGACAAATTTGTGTGTACTCAAAAATTGCAAAAGGAATTTAATGAATTTAATGAATTCAATGACATCATTTCCTTTTGCCCATGGACCCCACTTGACACAATTTCAGCCATTGAATAAAACAGAATTGTGCTGAGGCTTGTAGAATCTCTTTTGATGGGGCAAAATAAGTGTAACCACTGAAAAGACCCTAGACCTTCTGTCTTTTCTCCTACTCCATGAGACCACATGATGCAAAATGGTGCCCCAGAAACAACTGAAGCATATAGGAGGAGGTATTTCTTTATATAAATCATACACATTTCTTTGTCTGCTATTATCAATTATTTTTCACAGAAGAGTGTGGGAAGTTTCAGAATAAATTTCAATTAGAACTCAGGACTAAACACTCAAGAGTGGCTGACATTTTGCAGTTCTTGAGACTAATGGAAACAGGCTCTTGAGAACAGGAATGCTTGTATTACAGCCCATTTTGCAAAATGACAAAATTGCCACCCTGTTTCTCATTGTCTGATACTCTGCAAATATAACATTAGACAGCTGTCTTAAAGATAAATCCTCTGCCTCCCTCTCCTGGCCATAGTGAAACATTACGCAATGTGTTCTCGAAGGCTTTCACAGCTGGGATCAGATGGTTGTTGGGGGTTCCACAATGGTTTCAATCAAGTTGAATACAATAAAGTCAGGTTGCTTCAGCTAAAATGGAACAATTAAGACTGGTATCATGAAGTTAATTGCTTGTGGATTTGAAATTTAATATGCTTTCCCCCCACATTGGTCCATTCAGAATAATTAACGATAATTGGAATAATTATTAAACATTTAATGTTGTTTCCTACCTGTAGTCTTTTCAGGTAAAAAGATGATGGTGATTAAGAAGAGAAAGTCACGGTGTTACTTAATGAATTTTAAAATATTAATATTAATCAGGCATTGGGCAGAACTCTATTGGTGATTTAGAGATGACTAAGTACCCTGTTTCCCTGAAAATAATACCTAAGCTGAAAATAAGCCCTAGTAAGATTTTTCAGGATCCTCATAATTTAAGCCCTACCCCAAATATAAACCTTAGTTAGGTGAAACCCACTTTCCACCATTGTGCAGCATTATGCAATAACCCGTATTTTGACATGACTGTAAAATAATACATCTCCTGAAATTAAGCCCTAATGTGTTTTTGGAGCAAAAATTAATATAAGACCCTGTCTTATTTTCAGGGAAACATGATAGCATACCATATGTCAGTTCTTTGAGGCGCTAGGTCCATTCCGGATTATGCAATGAGCCTTCATTGCATAATCAGGAATGCACCTAGCACCTCATGAGTTAGTGGCAATTTTGTGTGACAGCTTACACATACATAAATCGCCAGTAGAACACTAACTATTGTTTTGGCAATAAATTATGAAAAGGTAGGAAATAAAAGAACAAAGAGACATGATAATCACAGGTCTCACTATGTTGATTTCCACTGTTACAATTCTAATTATGTAGCTTTCACTTTCAGCGTCAAATAAATGACACTGAACTTTTTTTAAAATGACAGGAATAATAGCTTTGCATTCTGCCTGGAAATCATCTGATGAGTATGTTTAAATGATTTGCTTATCCTTTCACATTAGTAAATCCCATGAAACCGTGTGAAAGGGTCCATTACAATGTCTGTTACCCTTTTATTAAATCATACTTAAAAGACTGGCCAGTATCCTATTGAGTTTCTGCTTAGCTGAAAGTCCTGCCAGCATATTATTGCATGGCTGAAGTCCTTGTGTAAGCATTGCGGATTAACCTCGCTATGCGGGGCACCACTGTACATAAATCGCCAGTAGAACACTAACCATTGTTTTGGCAATAAATTATGAAAAGGTAGGAAATAAAAGAACAAAGAGACATGATAATCAAAGGTCTCACTATGTTGATTCCCACTGTTACAATTCTAATTATGTGGCTTTCACTTTCGGCGTCAAATAAATGACAGTGAACTTTTTTTTAAATGACAGGAATAATAGCTTTGCATTCTGCCTGGAAATCATCTGATGAGTATGTTTAAATGATTTGCTTATCCTTTCACATTAGTAAATCCCATGAAACCGTGTGAAAGGGTCCATTACAATGTCTGTTACCCTTTTATTAAATCATACTTAAAAGACTGGCCAGTATCCTATTGAGTTTCTGCTTAGCTGAAAGTCCTGCCAGCATATTATTGCATGGCTGAAGTCCTTGTGTAAGCATTGCTAGTGCACATCCAGAAGAGAGGCTTTATTCATGGAGATCCCTGCTCCTGCAGTAACAATAGTCCATTTTACTGGGCTTGTGGGATTTTCTGTGCATTGAAAGCTCAGTAAGATACTCTCTTTTTTGGCCATCTATAAGCTAAATTTATTTCTCCTTCTCTGTTCTTGTTTAGGTACTTGGAACCCCAAATGAAGATTCATGGCCTGGAGTTCATTCACTCCCCCATTTCAAGCCAGGTAAAGTTCATGAACACGCTGTTAGAAATCATACAAAAATATTATTAAATGTTATTTTGTAATAATTTTCATATGATGAACACAAGCATTACTTCAAATTTTGATGCAGAAGCAGAAAGGAGTGATGGTAAGTTGCAAAGGTCAGTCTCTCAGATTAAAAAATAAATAGCAAAGAGGATGTTTCATTTGAATATTTTCTCCACATCTCATATCTATTGTTGACATAGAAGGCATCTTTTGTACTGCAAATGCTTTATGCTTTTGGCATGCCTATATCTAATACAGACACTCATTTTAATAACAAGTGTGGCAAAGTATGCTGCTTCCAGTTCTGCACACTATCAGCTGCCCAGCCCTGACTGTTTTGTCCATGTTTTCAGCCAAAAGGGGAGAAGGTTTACACCACTAGATTCCTACTCCTCTCTGAATTCTTTTCCCTGCCACCTTCTGGTGAGTAAACACCAAACACCTGTTCAGCCACTAAATGAATTGGCACAAACTGCCAAACGGTCGGTTTGTGCCTATCTTCTATGGTGACGTTTATCAGGGTTTTTTCAAGGAAATACTCAGGGATGGTTTACCATTCTCTTCTTCCGGGGACCCCCTGCGATTGTGCAGATTCCCCATTGCTACACAAGCTGGTTCTGTTTGCAGGAGGCACAGTGAAAAATCAAACTCCCAAACTCTAGCTCCGTAGCCAGGTACCTAAGCCATCTAAACCACTGAGGTATCCAGACAGATTTAGCTCACATTGTGTTATATCCTTTTTCTGGAAATTTAAAAATCACTGGAGAAAGTGATGAGATTGTGTTTCAAAAGTAAAATCATAATTTAAAAAAAAACAACTATGGATGGTTGTTGTGGGGTTTTTTGGGCTTTTGTCCTTTTCAGGAGATTGGGTGATCAGCGTGTTTTTGTTATGGGTGTACAGTGGTGCCTCGCATCGAATTGGCACAAACTGGCAAACGGTTGGTTTGTGCCTATCTTCTATGGTGACCTTTATCAGGGTTTTTTCAAGGAAATACTCAGGGGTGGTTTACCATTCTCTTATTCCGGGGACCCCCTGCGATTGTGCAGATTCCCCATTGCTACACAAGCTGGTTCTGTTTGCAGGAGGCACAGTGAAAAATCAAACTCCCAAACTCTGGCTCTGCAGCCAGGTACCTAAGCCATCTAAACCACTGAGGCATCCAGACAGATTTAGCTTACATTGTCTTATATCCTTTTTCTGGAAATTTAAAAATCACTGGAGAAGTGATGAGATTGTGTTTCAAAAGTAAAATCATAATTTTAAAAAACAACAACTATGGATGGTTGTTGTGGGTTTTTTGGGCTTTTGTCCTTTTCAGGAGATTGGGTGATCAGCGTGTTTTTGTTATGGGTGTATTGTTGCGATAAGGAGGAGAGATTATCTGAAAGACACATGGGTGTCTTTAGCTCGTCTCTTTTGTGCAGTGATCCCTGGTCGTTGTGGCTGGGTAGAGTTCGTTGACCTTCTGCATGCTGTATTTTCCGATGCTGGAAACCAGGCCGTGTTCAGTTTCAGACTTTCCTCTTTTTTTTGTTAAAGCTATGCCTATGTTTATGAATTTCAATGGCTTCCCTGTGCAGTCTAACATAATGATTGCTGATGTTGTCCAGTACTTCAGCATTTTGAAATAGAATTTCATGCCCAGCTTCTTTGATTCTGGTGTGAATGCTGCGTTTTGTGGTTCCAATATATACCTGTCCACAACTGCAAGGTATCCGCTGCAAGGTAAAAACAGGCTGATCACCCCATCTCCTGTTTATAGCTGTTCCCACAGCTATAAATACTCAACTATCCAACAAACAGCAACAGAGCATGGACAGAGTTCCTACTCCAGTCCTCTGAAGATGCCGGCCATAGAGACTGGTGAAACGTCAGGAAGAACAACCTTCAGAACATGGCCAAAGAGCCCAAAAAACCCACAACAACCATCAGATACCGGCCGTGAAAGCCTTTGAGAATGCAACAACTAATATCCTTTGGAAGGAAATTCATTTTAGTACATATCCAAGACGATTGTTTAATTATGTGAGAAACATGGGCCAAAATCATGATGTGCAGTTATGCAAATACTAAATATCACAAGCAGACACGTAGAGAATCATGGAACTCAGTATACAACAGATAATCTCTATGAAGATTTCTTAAACTACACAAATTTGCCACTAGAAGTTGCCACTTCAGAGTTACTTCACCACAGGGTTTCAGCGCTGCAAGGTAAAAACATGCTGATCACCCTATCTCCTGAAAAGGACAAAAGCTGTTCCCACAGCTATAAATACTCAACTATCCAACAAACAGCAACAGAGCATGGACAGAGTTCCTACTCCAGTCCTCTGAAGATGCCGGCCATAGAGACTGGTGAAACGTCAGGAAGAACAACCTTCAGAACATGGCCAAAGAGCCCGAAAAACCCACAACAACCATAGTTACTTCACCACAGGGTTTCAGCCCTTCTCAGCAACTAATATCCTTTGGAAGGAAATTCATTTTAGTACATATCCAAGATGATTGTATAATGATGTGAGAAACATGGGCCAAAATCATGATGTGCAGTTATGCAAATACTGAATATCACAAGCAGACACGTAGAGAATCATGGAACTCAGTATACAACAGATAATCTCTATGAAGATTTCTTAAACTACACAAATTTGCCACTAGAAGTTGCCACTTCAGAGTTACTTCACCACAGGGTTTCAGCCCTTATGTTTTTAGGTAAAGTCCTTTGGTCTGAATCAGTATATATTAAAATAGAAAAATTGTTTGGACTGTAGGTGGCAGTCAAGAAATCTTTCTGATCCAATGAATTCTCAGTTGCAGAATTCTTTGATGGGTGTGCTTCTGATGTTTATTTTTTCATACTGGAAATTCAGGAAATTAGGCTGCAAGAGAAATGTTATAAAGGTTATATTTGAAATGATAAGTGTATTAGTTTTATACTTTGCTGGCAAATGGCCATACAACTTGCTTGTTGTGAATATATGCTGTCTTTAAAACATAGTGCTCGAAAAATAAGAAATAAATGCTAGGGGCCATGAAACAGAAATGTCACCATTCTTTTTCTGTAAGTAATACTTCATGCATTTTTATTTTTTTTCTCAGCCCTTATTCATTTCCATACAAATTTCTAAACCAGAGTATAATTCTGACTAGAAACTACTAGTCATTTGATAGTATGTCTTCCCAAATAAGTACCAGGAATTGCTCTTGACAGAAAGCAACTAGATGCAATGGTGGTGGATATCTCTGATTTTACATGTGTATCTGCCCAAATTATACAGAATAAGAATGGAGAGATTTCCAATGTACTTTTACAATTTGCCCTTGGGTAGAAATGAAGAACTTTCCCTTTCTCCACAGTTCAATGAGCAGCAAAAGACAACCCAGGCAATTTTCTCTGTAGATGAAATCTAATGTTGAAAATATGCTCAGATGCAAACACAGTGTTTTGAGAAAAGGGCTGCTGGAAATTAAATCTTAGCCAGAATCCTTTGCTTCTCACTTGTATTTCCATTTTCCTGCTGTAATGAAACTAGCCTACCCCTGTTTTCTGTGTGATTGGAATAGATGTGTGTATAAGTACATAGGGTTATGTACCATTACTACCATTACATTTGGAACTTACTAATAGGTTGGAAAAGTTATATTTTTGCATTACTACTCCCAGAATCCTGGCTGGAGGACTGTGGAAGTGGTAAATGAAAAAAACAAAAAAAGGATTTTCCAAGCTCTACTCTTAGATATAAAGAATGGAGTCTTTTTCATCTTTGGAAGATAGTGGGAATGGAATCTTCAACATCTCAGAGCTGTGTGTAACAGTTCCCACTTAATACTGTAGGGATTATTTTTGCATTACAGTAAGAGAAATGTAGCTGGCTGGCTGGCTCAGTGGGTTAGGCATCTGGCTGCAGAGCCAGAGGTTGAGAGTTTGATTCCCCACTGTGCCATCTGAGAGAACAGCCAACCTATGTGGCCTTGGGCAAGCTGTACACTCTCAGGGTGCCCCCATAAGAAGGGAATGCTAAACCACTTCTCAGTATTATCTACCTGGGAAACCCTGATAAGGATCACCATAAGTCAGATAGCTGATGATGATGAGAAATGTACGTGTTTATAGTCACGTGAAAGAAATTTAATGACTGATTTAAACAGTATGACTCCCTTAATGATGGTGATATGTGCTTGGTGTGATAGATAATATAGTTGCTCATACAGTGATGCCTCGCTTAATGACGTTAATGTGAAAGAGATTTAATGACTGATTTAAACAGTGTGGCTCCCTTAATGGTGGTGCTATGTGCTTGGTGTGATAGATAATACAGTTGCTCATACAGTGGTGCCTCGCTTAAAGACGTTAATTCGTTCCAGCGAAATCGCTGTAGAACTAAAATGTTGTAAAGCGAACATAAAAAAAACATTGAAACGCATTGAAAACTGTTCAGTGCGTTCCAATGGGCTAAAAACTCACCGAAGCGAAGATCCTCCATATGGCGGTCATTTTCGGTGCCTGTATAGCGAGGAATCCATCCCTAAGCACAGCAGGGAGCCATTTTAAGCACCCGGTGGCCATTTTGAAAACCCGACGATCAGCTGTTTGATCATCGTAAAGTGAAAATCGGTTCCCGAAGCAGGGAACCGATCATCACTAAGTGAAATTCCCCCATTTAGACCATCATTTTGTGATCACAAAAGTGATCGCAAAAACGTCATCATGAAGCGGAATCGTCGTAATGCGGGGTAATCGTTAAGCGGGGCACGACTTGTACGCTACTTCAGTCATACACAGCAGCTTCATTTGAAATGCTGCAGATACTTAATGGCAGCAATACTGACATGTATATGCTGAACATTAATGGGAAGGTGCATAGTATAAAGAAAATATAAAAATGTATAGCTGCTGCATTACAAATATACGTTGCTGCCTGGTACATGTCTCAGCGCAGAAGGTCTGTTTGTTTAATTTTCCTTT